ATATATATATATATATATATATATATATATATATATATATATAATTATTATTTTTAATGGAGGACTAAAACATCCCAGCTCACAGCAAAGCAGGCCTGGACAGAAGGCTCACCTTGTCTAGCTGATGAAACAGAAAGACCAAAGCCAGCTCAGTGAGGGTACTCTCACCAACAGGGCTCAGACCAAGAGGGAGAGAAGCAGATTAAGATAGGAGGGGAAGGGAGGAAGGAATGTGTGAGGAAGAGCACCCAGTCTACCCTCAGAAAGGGAGAGGGCATGCAGTGTCTTGGGATCCTTGTACACTTTCCAGATGGTGAGACTGACTTGGCCCTTTGTAGAGTTCTTCCTGGTGGCTGGATATTCTAACGGAAATGAATGTCCCAGAGCCAAGGGCTCACTCTGCAATCCCAAAGATGGGCTGCTGTTCAGCAAGTCATGGATGCAGGCTCAGCTGTTTGCCCCCAGAACACATGGGAGGACTTCCAGGCCTGGATGATCCCAGGAAAGCACTGCTGCAGCCTCTGTTAAGACCAGTTCAATGAGAGTGGAATGAAAAAATCCCTGCTTCAGGGCAGACACAGCCAGGCCTGAGCAGCTCTGAGGTTGCATAGGGGTTAACTCCAGCTGGGGGAGGTCTGAAGGCATCATGTTCCAGGGAGAAAGGAACATTTGTGTATGGACTATCACAAGTGAGACACAGCAGCAGTATTAGGTTGTGTTCAGCTACAAGTCACAGAACACTTTAGGAAAACGTGTTTCCTCTCCTAAAAAAAGTCTAGACAAATGCTTTCATCTTAGTGAGTCCTGAAGCTAAGTTCTCTGTGTTTTTCTCTTCTGCCGTTCTACCCAAAAGCTGTGATTTCAGTATGGAGGTACAAAACTCCAGGGTTCCCAGGCAGTAGCCATGACATCCAGCAGAGAAACAAAAAGGCTATCTCTTCTCCTTGTGAGAGCAAGAAAACCTTTCCCAGAAGACCCCCTAATGCCACACAGGCTAGAGATGGCCCTGAACTACTCCTGAACTGTTTACTAGCAAAGAGTCCCGGAGAGATCTCTGAGCTGGGCAGGTGAATATATGAAGGCAGGAGAACATCAGAACCAGATCAGGATCCTTACAGAAAAGAAGAGGATGCCTGGAGCATCTGTCCAAGCAGCATCCATAGATTGCCTTGGGGTGCAGGGATCCTCTGCCCTCTTCTCCCCAGTTGGGTGCTATTCCTGGGACTCCCAAAGGGACATGAAATATCATAGTGGCTAGGAGTTTGTATTGGTATTAGGCAGACCTGGACTCAAGTTTCATGAATTAGCTGGAAGACAGGTGGTGATCTATCTATCTTCTCAAAGCCTCAGTTTCCCTCATCTCTGCCAGGTAGATGACAGGATGAATTTTATAGGATTTTGAATACTAAATTTACAGAGCTTTGCAAAATATCAAGCCCAGCATGTGATGGCATGTTCTAATAAATGTGAGTCCTTCCCCACAATCCCCATTTACCCATTCTGGATGTACTTTGGAGTAGCTCCAAGGGTCTCCTCAAGGGTCTTCCTTAGCCAGACCAAGGGAGAACTTCTTTCATTCTATCCGGCTATGGAAACGAGGAGAAGCAAACTTGGAGCTGTACTGATAAGGTCTGTCGTGGGAAGTTCAGATGCCTGGGCTGTGGAGACAGTGGCTGTGCAGGAGTCTTCAACAGGCATTTCCCACTGCCTGCCTACCTGCTGAACCTATACAAGGGCCTGAGGACCAATGCCCACACACTCTGCTCTTACAGGGCTCTCCTCTTTGCCCCCTATGTCAATCAGAAGAACCCATTTTGCAATGGGGAAGCAATTTTCCAGTGAGGTAGAACAGCTTACTGATTCCCCAGACTGCTTCTCAGCCCCCATTCTAGGATGAAAGCTGGGGACAGAAGGGGATTTCTTATGTTTCTTATCCCCCAGAGATCAAGTTGCCTCTATTTCCCTCTTTGAAGAAGGAGGAATCCAGGAAGAGGCCCATCTCCATGGAAACACTGCCTTAGTAACAAGGGGGAAAAGGAGGAGGGAACACATACTTTGGGAGGTAGAGGGGGGTTGGAACTGGAGTTGAAGTGTCCCAGAAAGTGGCTTCCAGCTGCAGAAACCCCTAAAAAGCACAAGCCCTATTTTCTGTGGGAATGCTGCAAAATAGATCTTCCCCGCTCCTCTAGAGAAGACCCTCCACCTGTCTTCCCTATAGTACCTGATTCAACTGGGAAGGCAAAGATGAGGCCCGTAGAGATTTGGGTTAGTGTGTCCCATCCGCGGCTGGGAGGGGTAGGAGAGGGGTGATATGACCTGGAACCCCTGGTCTAGTGGGCCCCATGCAGCCTGCCTCCTGCATTTTCTCTCTCACAGGAGGGCCATGAAACGCAATGTCCGACTGAGGTGCCCCTTTCGCAAAGGCACCTGCGAGATCACCCGGAAGACACGGAGGCAGTGCCAGGCTTGTCGCTTGCGCAAGTGCCTGGAGAGCGGAATGAAGAAGGAGAGTGAGCGCCGGGCTGCTAGGGGCGGGCTACCCAGGCCCTGCACGCTCCGGGAGGGTGTGACCAGGGGCCCTGTAGGATCCTTACAGAAAAGAAGAGGATGCCTGGAGCATCTGTCCAAGCAGCATCCATAGATTGCCTTGGGGTGCAGGGATCCTCTGCCCTCTTCTGGGCAAGTGCGTGAGCGCGTGTGCTCGTGTGCACGAGTGAGCTGTGTCCCTGTGCTACAGGCAGCCATCTGAACCCAGAGCTTGCAAGAGGGATTTGGGAGCTACAGGGCATTTTTATTTTTTGCTCTCTATCAGGGGTATGTCCCCCCTTTTCCTCTCAGATGCTCCTGCAAGCTTCCTTTTGTCCCCTTCTTTCTGTCCTGGATTTGTAATCAAACTGGGGAGGGTTAACCTGTGGGGACACGTGTGCTGAGCCTGCTCCACTGAACCTTCAGTGATCATGTCCGATACCGCGGTGGAGCAGAGGCGGGCGTTGATCAAGAGGAAGAAAAGGGAACGAATCGCGGCTCAACCGCCGGGGGAGCAGGGGCTGACGGAAGAACAGCGGTCCTTGATCAGGGAGCTGATGGATGCCCAGAAGAAAACCTTTGACTCCACCTTCTCCCATTTCAAGGATTTCCGGGTAGGAGGCTTAGAGCTGTCTTGGCTCCTGAGCTAGCTGCTCAACATCCCCTGGAGGCTCATTCCCAGGGTTTCCCATAGTGTGGTTCTGGGGTCAGGAGTCAGATTCCCCTGGGAATTTGCTAGACATGCAAATTTTCAGGTTCTCCCCCATCTTCCGAATTCCTGGAGTAAGGCATACCCCCAGCTGATGCCCTCCCAGGCTCATGTTGGAGAATCTCTGTTCTCTTTCTGCAGCAGATAGGAACTGGGTCTGAGTCATAAGTGGAAGCAGAACTAGGTTTTAGGAGAACAGAGTCAGGATCTCTTGGGGGTGTGATCTTTGTAAACCAGTTCCTTAACAATCCAGTGTTAGCTGCATCTCTAATCCCAGTACCCTCCCTTCCTGTGTGCTCACAGGTATCTCAGGTGAGGTGCCCAGCTTAGAGAACTTATTATCCCCAGAGAGCACAGTGTCTGCTCTTCCCATCTGCAGCTCCCTAACCCTTCTGAGTCTCCTGGGCCTAGTAGCAAGAATGCTTGTGACACACCAGGGTAGGAGGTCCCCCTCGCCCAGGGATGTGTGCATCCATTAATTCATGGATCCAGAAAGTACCCCCTGATGGGAGACAGCAAGAGAGAAGACACAAGTGCTGTGTGTGTGTGTGTGTGTGTGTGTGTACGTGCACATGCGTGCAGGGCCTTGAGCACCTGTGATTGTGTATCTTCTCAGGCTGCAGCTGGCTGTCTGGGATGTGTGGGGACCTGTTTATGAAAACATAGGCATTCTTTCTAATCTCCACCTCCTTCCTGTCTTGTGTTCCAGCTGCCAGAGGTGTTTAGCAGTGGCCATGAGATTCCAGAGTTTCTGCAGACTCCACCGGGGGAAGACCCTGTCAATTGGAGCCAGTTCAAGGAAGATCTGTGTACCATGAAGATCTCTCTGCAGCTTCGAGGGGAAGATGGCAGCGTGTGGAACTATAAACCCCCAGCCAACAGTGACGGGAAGGAGATCATTCCCCTGCTGCCCCACCTGGCTGACATGTCGACCTACATGTTCAAGGGTGTCATCAACTTTGCTAAAGTTATCTCCTACTTCAGGTAGGACATGGGACTGTGTGGATGGGTGTGGAAGGGAAAAGGAAATGACCAAAAGGTCATTGAATTTGAGGGATGTTGGTGCCAAATGACCCTCCTTTGTCTCTGCCTCTCAGGTCACTGGTGCTGCAGGGAATAGGTTTCTAGCGGTATGTCTCAGTGGCTTTGTGGGTGTGGGTCTGCGCTGTGATCCAGTGGGTCTCAGCCTCTCATCTGGAGATAGGAGCTAATAATACCTTCTTTGTAGGACTACCAGATGAAATTAAAAAAAAAAAAAAACCAGATGAAGATCACCCAGAACATAATGGAAATTCAGATAGAAATTCCTTTCCCTATTTCTCCCATGATGGCAGGAACCATAGATGACCGCTTCAAAGGATGAGTTGGAAGGAAAAAGAAGTCCAGAGAGAGAAGAAAGGAGAGAGAGGAACAGAACAGATGCTGGTCCTATAGTGGAGATATTACCCAAGAGATATCTGAGCAGGCCATGGAGAACATGGACCCATGGTTATGAAATTAAAAGGGCCGGGACTCCCCACAGCTAGGCATAGAGGCAACAACTAGAACAACTGGGGTCAGCAAGAGACCTGGAACCCCTTAATATGGTGGGAGCCACAGCCCATAATATATAATCTGTAGGGCTACAGATAGTGCTAGGTATATTTTCCCTTGGGCTGGCCACCTTGCCTTTCTGAGCCTGGTCCAGTGGAGCCGAAATACACAGGCAAGGAACCCAGATCTCATCAGCAGGCGGAGGGCAGGTTATATTCCAGGAGTACAGGTTCCCTTTGCCTCTATGTGACACACAAGATTGGCTCAATGACATTAGGATAGCAATGACCTGGAATAGGGGGCAGACTGTGGCAAATTAGTTTGAGGGAGCAGGAAGAAAAGTCTACTTACTAGTGTGAACTTTGGCAGATTCTTGCTGGGCATCCAATGAGCCATAATTTAACTGCAGGGAGGTTACTACCTGCTTCTCCTGACCACCAGTTTTGAGAACAGTGACCCCAGGCATCACTGTTACCTTCTTTTTAGAAACAGACTCACTGTTGGTAAGAAACTTGTAGAACTCATCAGCTGATCAGTGGTGGAGGGCATATTTGGAAGTACAGGCTTGTAGAGTACAGACTTCAGAGCCGGCTACCTCCCAGGGACTGAGCTGGTCTCTGGGGAGACACAGAAGAATAATGTCAACTTCATGGCATTTGAAGTGCACTATTATGGATCAAAAGAAGTGGTATGTGTGCGAGTAGTGCAGAGCCTAATGTCCCAAGGAGACCAAAGTCAGGGACAGGGCTTTTTTTAGGAGTTCTCATGAACAGCCTCAGTTTCCCAGCCTCTTCCTTTTCAGGAACATCTTCTTCAGGGAGGAGTTGGGGGTTCCTCTCAGTTTGGGAGGAAGAGGTCCCTCCAGGATGAGCCCACCAATACCAGAGGTTTATAAAGCAGCCACTGTGGTTAGGCCTGTGTTCAGTGCTAGGATTGGGGCTCAAGGCATCCAGGTTGCCTGGAGAGAAACAGTAGAAATATGTAAATATTAAATTCAACATAGACAACAGGTAGCAAATATCCTCACCATGGAGCGCGTACCAAAAGGAATGGCATGTGCTGAAGAACTCCACACTCTGGAAACACTTCTGGGAGGGGCAAACACATATCTTGGCTTAAAGAACTCAGGATTTACTTAAATGAAGCTAAGCAAGCACTCAAAGTTGGGAAATTGAGGCAGAAGATATGAAAACTAAGGAGCAGGAGCCAAGGTATCAACTAGGTCAGTGGCTATGTAGGGAGTTGGAGGAAGTGATTTAGGCTGCAAGGGACCTGGATGCTAAGCTAAGTGGGTATGGAGAGTCCACAAAGGTAGGAGGAGATATAAGAGAAGAAGAGTAACCTGCTTGGCTGGATGTGATGGGGAGAGATTAGAGGAAACCAGGAAGCAACTGCTGTGGTCCTCAGAGGAAGGAGCCTGTCCTACCTCCTCCCTTAACATCTGGGTTATGGAAATGGGTACCAGCCTGTGGGCAGCTACCCTGGGAGCTGTCATCTCACCATCTTTGCTGCCAGGGACTTGCCCATTGAGGACCAGATCTCCCTGCTGAAGGGGGCCACCATTGAGCTGTGCATACTGAGGTTCAACATGATGTTCAACGCAGAGACTGGGACCTGGGAGTGTGGTCGGCTGGCTTACTGCTTGGAAGACGTTGAAGGTGCTCAAGAGCCCCTGCCTGCCCTGGCAGAGGGAGGGACACATGATAGTTTTGGGTGGAAGGGAACCACATCAGGACATGCAGGTCCTGGGAATGTAAGGCAGGAAGACTGGGTGATGGAACAAAAGACCTTAGAGAGGGAAGATTTGTTCTTGGGTCAGCTTCTCAAGATGCCACCCATCCATCCTATACCCACCCACAGGTGGCTTCCAGAAACTTCTGCTGGATCCTATGATGAAATTCCACTACATGCTGAAGAAGCTGCAGCTGCATAAGGAGGAGTATGTGCTGATGCAGGCCATCTCCCTTTTCTCCCCAGGTGATGGCCTTCCCCAGGCTATAAACACCCCTCACCATGATTGCAGGAGGCAGTAGCCCCTCTTCTGCCCTCCCTAGGGAAGGTCCCAGCTTACAGCCTTGTTCCCTCCTCCCTGCACAGGCAGGCTAAGGATGGGACTCTAGCTGGTTTCTCCTTGGGTCAGTGGGGTGATGTAGAACCCTAGTCCTCCTTTACCTTCAGGGTGACTTTGGCTCAGGAAGTGGCTGGCCAGTAGTTACCCTCTCTGGGCCAGACTGAGCCTGTCTTTGCCCCTTCCCACCCTGGCTGGGACCACTCTGTCTTCCCTCCCTGTAGACCGCCCAGGTGTGGTGCAGCGTGGTGTGGTGGAACAGTTGCAGGAGCGATTTGCCATCACTCTGAAGGCCTACATTGAGTGCATTCGGCCCCAGCCGGCCCACCGGTGAGCATGAGCAGAAAGGGCTGATGCTTGAGGGTGTGAGGGGTTCTCCCTGAAGCCTTGCCTAACTTTCAGCCTGTTCTCTAGGTCCATGCCTCCCTGGGTCTCTATGGGACTGCAGACCAGAGCTGTGCCTCGTGTGCTCTGATGACCAGTACTCTAGGGCCATTTTCTGTGACCTCTATTGAGGCATATTGCCTGAGAGCTGTCATCTCAGCTGGTCAGCCTGAGCACCAGTCCTGTTATGGGGAAAACCCAAGGCGGGGCTATGGCTGTGCCCAGCTGAGTGGACACTTGTCTGCCAGGGCCTTCCATCCTCCTTTCATCAAGAGGCCAGATACTTTCCTGTGTTTCCTACAGGGTCTTCTAGAATGGCCAATAAAAACTATAATGATAGTAAAGATTAGAATGACACCAATAATGAAGATAATCAGAAGTAGATTGTAATAGACATCATTTGTTGGGAAGTGCCAAATCTGGTGCCAAGTTGTTTATATATCTTGTCATCTTTAATCCTCAAAACACTCACATGAGTTGGGTATCAACACCACCCTGCAAAGGAAGCCAAGACACAGGGCAGTTGCCTAGGGTCCAGACGTATGGAGGCTGGCAGTGGACCAAGCCAAACCAAGTCCAAATCTCAAGCTCTTGAGCATTCCCTAAGAACTTCCCAGGAAGAATCCAAACACACTTGAGGTAGGGAAGTCCTTACCTTGATCTGATCATAACTCAGAAGAGGAAGGCTGCTTGGGACTTGGCCCAAACAGGGGTTTCCATAACTTCACTGGTCCTCAGAGTCCCTGTGATCTAGTGACCAGTCTAATGCCCAAAGGCCTGAAGACAAGGACAAATTTGAATTTAGGAGAACACAAACCCATGACGGTTAAGGCCAGCACTAGCTATTATGGTGTGAACTTGAAACTCAAATTCTCACTTGGTTTACACTGCTTTCTTTTTGCTCAGCATCTTGGGATGCTAGGGTGGCCATGACTTTATTTGCTCAGTTGTTCCCTGTATGGAGCCAGCAGGCTTGAGGTGCCAGCTGTCATCATGGAGAAACTGAGGCATGTGGTGTGTATAGACATTAAATCCAGAGCTGGATCCAGGAAGGGATTCCAGCCTGCAGTCCCTAACCTCCACAACTATTCTGCTCACTTCTGGGCCCCGGACATTAACCAAGATAGTGACTCCCTTTACCCCCAAATTAACCTAGGCATATGGCATCCGCAAGATCTGGATTTTCCACTGAGATCTCTATGAACAAAGACTCAAAATCCATAGATGAGGAAGGAGATTATGGCTCCCAAGTACCCGCAGACTACTCTGCCCTTCTTGTGCACGGGCTGAAGGAATTCAGCCAAGCCTTGCCTCTTGGCTGACCTGAACCTGAGAAGTCCTGAGAATAAACTTGCATGCCCTCAGAACAGGGCTAGGGCTGGAGGGTCCAGGAGAGGAATGGCTGCATCCCAACCTCTCCTCTGGCTGGTCCACAGGTTCCTGTTCCTGAAGATCATGGCTGTACTCACCGAACTGCGCAGCATCAATGCCCAGCACACCCAGAGGCTGCTGCGCATCCAAGACACACACCCCTTCGCCACACCCCTCATGAGAGAATTGTTCAGCCCCACAGATGGCTGAGTGGCTGCCCTTGGGTGGAGCCTCGGTGGGACAGCGAGACCAGAGCTTGCCAAGCTGCCATTTCTGGGGATAGACAGATGGACACCATAGCTGGTTAGCATTCCTCAAAGAGGGGACTTGAGTCTCCCAGTCCTCAGTTCAGACTGTGGACAGGGAAGCCATGGACCCTATGTGCAGCATGAGCTGGCCTATTTAGGTCAGGACTGTTAGAGGCCAGGCTGCCCTTCCCTTAGACAAAGTTCTGTGGTCCAGTAATAAATCCCTAAATCCCACTAAATCCCTTGAAATATTGTGGTGGGTGGAGGGGAAGGAGCTAGAGGCTGGGTTTCCATCAATACCCCAGTTTACAGGCTTGAGTCTTTTCACTGCTACCTCTAATAGTCCTGCCTTCCACTCCCTGCTCATTCCCATCCTCAACCTCTTGCCCTGAGTTGCCAGGTGGGTTCCAGGCCTGTGCTCATAGGCAGGTGCATGTCTGTGGTGTCTTTGAGAGAAGCTGAGAAGCCTGCACTGAATGTCAGAAAATGGTCATAACCTCAGCTGAGCACGTCATTCTGTGTCTCTGCATCTACCCAAACCCATCATTAAGCACCAACACTGTGCAGCCTGCTGTGGGGTGGTGTACAGTGTTGATTTAGATGTCAATTCTGACCTTGAATAGTTCATATTTATGACAACAAAAGCTGAAACACCAATGATGCAGACCAAAAGGACAATCCACACATAAGAAGCACGAGGAATATTTTTGTGTGGATGCTGAGCTGCACTGAGATTTTGTGGGCACCTGGGCTCAGTGAAGACTCCCTAGGATGTGCTTATGGAAAGAAGGGATGGGAACTGTGTCTGTGGGTACCTGTGTGTGACTTAGCACAGGTCTATCTGCTCCCCATCTGACTGGGCCTGGGTTTGCTCCTGAGGCTGGTTAACACTTGTGTGCTGTCACAAGGCTACAGTGACAGTGAATAAATGTGCTAGAGTAAAACCACTTGCACACACTCGTATTCCTGTGTCAATATGCTGTTCTCCAAACTGAAAAATGTGGGAGTGTCAGCCTTGTTATAGCTATTTGTGAGTAAAACTGTTTGCATTGTCACAAGTTTAATTTTACATAAGGCACTTAATACATTATTTACATTATTATCTTAATAAGATAATAATACATTATTATCTTATTAATTTAATAAGGCATTTAATAGTTTTAGCAAATGTGTTCCTGGTTTAATGTCAAATCAAGGAAAAAGGTTTGGCTAAAGATGTAAAAAAATGTTGGCATTCTAATCTGGGGAAGAAAGAAATGTGGGAGTGAGGAAGTAGAAATAAAAATACAGACACACACATATATATACATTTTTTCACTACTTATTGCCTTTTATACATCGGAAAACCATTGGTCTAAGAACATACAAATGAATTAACTTGATTTACTCATAAAATAATTGTTCTGAATTAAAGTTTAAAGGATATACACATCATAATTAAAATGCAAATGAATTAATTTTAAATGTTTAATATTTGGTTGCAAATGAAGCTGTAAGGTAAACTGAATTTTAAGAAACAGATAATTGCTTAGTTTTCACCATTTTATAAAAAGCAGGGCAACGTTGAAAACATTAAGAAATCAATAATACAAATCAAAGAAGTAAACATATTCCCTGACATCCCTCCAGTTTCACCAACCTTCTCTGCATCAAGGAGATAAAGTACCCATTTTTAGAGAAAAACCCAAGGAAAAATAAAGTGCCTCTCTACAAGCTCAATAAATACAGCTTTTGCTCCCAGGAATTTCAACTAATTTATGTTTAATTTTTACTCAGTTATAATTAGAAATGTAAGTTTATAATTTGGAGATATACATTTCATTCAACTATATTCACCAGTAATGTATGCCCCTTCCTTTCCCTGGAGGAAATAAATTTTTGAGTGTGCTATTCACCCAAGTGGCTGAAATTGTTGTTGGATGTAGGTTAGAGTAAGGCAAAGTTAAGGTGAGATTAAGATGGGTCAACTCCCCTCCCCCAGTTTTGTTTTTAAAAACACCCAGGCAGCTCCCCAATATTAAACAAATATGTACGTATGGTTTATATAAATTATGAAAACTAAGTGTATTTCAAGAGAAAAGATTCAAGGTTAGATGCACCAAAGAGCTCTCACAGGATACTTCCTTTCAGCAGCTTTGTGGATCTCAAAGTTTATAGGACTAGGAGCCAGGTTCAATTTATCTACCCCCCAAATAATTTGGATTTCCTTATTACTCACTACCCTGAGCTTTTGAGCAAATAGAACTAAGCATCAACTTCTAGGCATTTCTGTAGTTATGGATCTCTTTTTCTAGTACCTGGTTCAGTCAGGAAAAGATGAAGTTAATCTCCAAGGCTACTGCTTACCTTCTGGCTCCCCTATCAGTCAGTCACTCAGTGGTCTCTCTCACCTTGTCCCAGACTTTGTCTAAAGTTGTTAAAGACAAATCTTCACTTGGGAGAAGGCCCAGAGTGGCTTTTTTTTTTTTTTTTTTTAAAGAGGTTATAAAGAAAAACATTTCATCATCAGCCTTTCTCACTCCAGACTCAGTGGCCTCTTCCTGCACGCCCCCTTCCTCAGCAGCTTATTGATCCCTCCTTGCTTCCCTTTATGTGTCCATAGCTGCTGTGAATCTGATGGTGCTGATGGGTTGGATTAACTACTTCTATACCTGAGGAATGGGTGACCATCCACTGCTTTTGTTCACTTGCTTTCACAAAAAATAGCATCTAGAAATGTGAATCCCAAAGGACTGTATGGTCATCACATTTTGGAAGGACTTGGAAACTAAACAGGGAGTCTTCCAGGATTCCAAGTTAATGCAGCTTCTTGCAGGACACTTAATGCCAATTCAAACAGCTAAGGTAGAACCTACACAAGATGGCAAAAATGCATTTCAGTGCCACCAAGAAGCCCATCCCGCAAGTAACATCTTACATGTTTTTGCTGAACCAGCCCTCCCCTACCACTAGTAACTGCATTTAACTATTTACAAATGTGATAGATTTTGCCCATCCCACAACATCAGTAATAAGAGGACCACACTTTATCGAATATAAATTTGTTTTTATTGAAGCAGCAGTCACATGACCTTATAGCTAGTCTTTAGATTAGGCCTGACAGTTTGCCAGTCCTAAAAAATGTTTCTTTTGCACTAAGAGACATAACATGTTTACATACATTATCCAGTATTAGCAATGAGCAGACTCAAAAACAACATGTTGGTTACCTGGGAGGTAAAGCCAACAGTTTGTGGTGTTCATATATTTTACAGAGACCCCCAAAGACCATTACTAATAGGATAAAAGTTAAAGAAAATACAGCTACACCAAACCATGAACACACAGTAATCGAAGACAGCAGCTCTTACACATTTTTACAACTGTCCCTTTTAGGGACGTTTCCTTTGTTTTCAAAGCAGTGTCTACAAAGATTCCTCTACATCAAATCCAAAGGTTTCCAAGCTGGAAGCTGCACCTCTTGTGGCTAATACAGTGGAGTAAGGTCATTTGAAACAATGAGATGTGGTGTTCATACCTTGATTTTTATAATAAAGATTCATGTTTCCCTAATTAAAGATGGTGATGTGACTACTTCTGCAGTGGCAAAATAGGGTGAAGAGAGGGATGGGTACTGAAATAAAGACCACACACTTGTGAATTTTAATTTCATTTCCAGGCTAACCTACTTTTTATTTAATGCAAATTACAGTACCAGTTAACTATTTCCAAACCAAGTCACATAGAACGAAATGTATTTACAAGGGAATGGGGGAAGGGCAAAAAAACATTGAGCATACTTTTCACAAAAAAGGTTTATATTTAAAATGAAAAAAAAAATTCAGTCACAGAGGCATTCAAGTAGTAATAATGTTATACAGATTTTGCTTTTCCTTTATATCAAGACAGATTTGCACAAGTGTTTGCAATAGTTTGTATACAACCCACAGTCCTTTATATATATATATATAATAAATTTTGTTTTTTAGATTCGTATTTAAGATGGAAGTGGTCACGCTAATTGGTATGTGTACAGGCCCAAGTGATCCATCGGCAACACACTTATAAATGCAAATTTTACAGGCAAGCACATTTTCATACATCTATCTGTATCTGCCTGTAGACAGATATAAGAAAAAAACTTAAAAATTAACACAAGGAAGTCTACTTTGTCAAGCTAACCCCTTATGTACTGGTTGTCATTTTGCTTTTATTGCAGAGGTGCAAAACGGAGCAAAAACTCTAATAATAAACAGCATAATCCTTGTGAAAATAATCCAAACCCCAGGGATTACTTTCAAAGCCTCTAAGGAAGACCTTAATCTGGGACTCTACTGTGCTTCTAGTTGTCTCTTTATTTTCAGTGGCTCAGGTTTCTACCAGAAAAGACAGGTTTTATTGTAGAGCATGCTTATTTTTCTATAGAGGGGAGAAAAGTGTTTTGTCTCTGTGATTAGATGATCACTAACATGAACAATATGAATCAGGTACAATTTTGGTTTAAACCAAAGAAAAACCCCCAAACTCCTGGGGATCTGGCATTGGCCAACTTCCTTTGGAAGATTCCAAAGTTAAATCCTTTAAAAAGGAAAGAGAAAAGAAATGAAATGCCAGTGTCTTTATATCCACAGGGATAGAGAATATAATAGTCCTCTCAGAAACCTTAGCATTGGTGCAGATGAGATGATTGGTTAGGCATACTTTATTCAAACACAAACCAAGATGGGTGTAAAAATTAAGAGGACTTTTAAAATGACACATGTCATTGGAAAGAAGGTGCAGTCTTCTACCTTGCTGGAATGAACACATGATGTTTCAAAAATAGCAACCTTTGGTTTGGTAAAGTGTTTTTTTCTTCTATTCAAGACATTTTATATGGAGTACTTGGAGGCAAAACAAAAATATATATATATATATTTTTTTTTTCCAAAAAAGGCCTTCATGTTGGGCACACAGTCAAAATTAAACTGATTTAAAAAATTAAAATGACATGTCATTGAACAGAGTAGAGATGGCAGGAGGGAGAGAATGGGTTGAGTTCCCTTGTTAGAACAGCCTTCTATGGGCATGATGGCATTCTGTGCAGTTAACTGCAAGCCATTGCAAGAGAGAATTTTAGACCATTGATGTATCAAAACCCAATACTAAACCAGTTTTCTCTCCCTGTGTCATTTGGGAGGGAAGTCAGTAAGGGGGCTGGTGCGGGGAGGTGGGGAAGGAGGGAGGAAGAAGAATGAGCGCCTGCTTGAGCATGGAAGGTTCCTAGAATCTGCTGTTCGTAAAACCCACGGTTAGGGCTTGTGGAAGAGATAAACAAAATCTAATCTATTGATATCCTCCAGCTCTAGGGCTCCATGTGTTATACTAAGTCCCTGAATGGACCAAGTACCAAATGAAACGGTCATTGCTACAGAGGAGGAAACAGACATTCAGAACTAAAACAAATGTAGGGCTTGAATAAAATGAGATTATGAACATGGTTTCCTCTTCCCACTCCTGAGCATGGTGAATCACCGAAACTTAATTGTGGAGGGGGCAAAGATACTGTTGTGAGTTATATTATTTCAAAGGGAAAGGGGATGGACAGGGAGACGTGGATAAAGGAAACCAAATAAAATTTTTTAAATGAAAAATAAAAATAAAAACAAACACAAAAACCAAACACATGGAAGCGAAGGCACTCCAAACTATATAGATACACTATACATTGCTAGAGTTATTGTTACAATAATACAGGCCAGTACCTACTGTACAGAGTTAAAACTATATGGCTTTAAAAAGCTCGTCTACATTTTGTCTGATTATTAAACAGAATCACTGCCCTGAACAGTAACTTTTTGCTCATTAATAACAGTTCCTGGGTCCACATATTTACATACAAAACAATAAAACTTAAATTTAAGAACACTGAAAGAAAATATAATGTACAAGCTTGAATTTGGTGAGGAGCTTTTAATTATTATTATTATATTTACAAAAAGATATCCAGAGACCTGGATCTCACTTGTATAAAAGAGTTCTGTGATCCCGCCATGATCCGTGAGAAAGAAAAATCATGCACCGCGCGCACACGCACACACACACACTCTCTCACACATTCACACACACACACACACACACACACACTAAAGTGAGAGAAAAGCATCTGACTTTTCTCTCTTCTTCTCTTACCCCATTTATGGGGGGAAAAGTGTTTCCTAAAATAAGTACTGATTTTTATGGACTCCATCAAGTATACCAAGTCCAGAATAGTGTTCGTATCCAAACGTCTGACTGGGCAGTTTGATCTGAAAACAGGTCCATTTCTCTGTCATAGACCTACCTGTTCAGATTCTTTATAAATCCTTTCTGTAATGGTCTATAGTTCCTTTAAGGAACTATGCTGCCAAATACTTTCAGATTTTTTTCAATCTTAACTAGCTCTCAGAAGCACTTTATAAAAAGCAAAATTCACTATTTTATTTGGTTTGACTGAACATTATCTTTTCTCATGAACTCTGATAGAACAAGAGGTTTAAGAAACCCCTTTTGTGGCCCAAGAGCTTAGCTAAACAGTGAGTGAACACTAAGATGGCTCACAGTTGTCTTTCTGGGTGTCAATTCACTTCAGCAGGCAGCATAACTCTCTTGGAGAGTTGCACACAAAGTCAAGAAGCAGGACAGGGTTCAGGGCCTGCACGTGGGCTGCCAAGAGACTCCACTTCCTAACCACCTGGAGGGCGAGACCCCAACATGACCTAAGTGGCAATGAGGAGGGTAAAGGAGGTTACACACAATCTAGGGTTCAGCTCTGCAGCCCTACAATTATCAGCTAACCTTGGAAGGTGTGTGGGGAAGGAGAGGGCAGGAGGAAAAAGTGGCCATCACTCAAGTGATCTTTTAAATGTAAAATATAACTGATTGTGCCTTAAAGATTCATAGGTCAAGTAATGGCCCATAAGCACCAAGGTGACTAAGGTTCATTTTAGAGTATATAAGGCCCACATAGATACCAACCTTAAAAGTATAAAACAAAGTAGTTGTGAAAATCTATCTCTTTACTGCAAACATAATTCTTCAATCTTCCTTGCTTTCCAAGGAATATTGCTTTTTTTTTTTTTTTCCCAAAAACAATAGACTGATTCTTACACCATTCACTGATAAAGAAAATAGAAACAAAACTCTTAACTGGGTGTGTGTGGGGAAACATTCTTTTCATGCTTCAACCAGTCAATTTTGATACTGGAGACAAAAAAGAAAAGGCAGTATTGAGTATCTGTATATATAACTATATACACACATTTATAGCATCAGTTTCCCTATGAAGTCAGCAGGTACGTACAGGTGACTATATAATTTTGATAGGTAGTTTTTAATATTCCTACCACCTAAAATCATAATGGCCTATTGGGCATGCATCAATAAATAAATTTTAAAAGCATGAGGTTAAAAAAGCTAAAATTAAATAGAGTCTAGATTTGGATTTAAAATTATAACTACGTGTAGAAGGTGGCAATTCCTAAAAACTTGTTTTTCTATTAGAAAGATGAAAAATAAAGCAGTAGACTGTTACAGTTCACATTACTTAACTATAATGTCCTCTCTTAAGTGTATCTTTCCAAGGGAAGTAACTTTAGAAAAAAATCTGGACGAATTCATTCACAGTGGTGAGATCTGCCCCAGCCTGTGTCCTTCCTCTAGTCTCACCAGGTGCCTTTGACCTGTGCAGCCAGTATAGCCTGTTCAACAACCTTTCCAATCCCCTTCTAGGTCACTAATTTAAAACTGTACAAAGATTTGCAGAGAACCTTTGGTAAGGCAAAACAAAAACAAAAACAAAACCCCATTATGGAACTAGAGTTCTGCTTGCTGCTCCCCTTTTGGAGCCTGCTTACCAGCTTTCTCACCACTAGTACTGACTAAGAACAAAACCAAACTTAACCAATCAATTCAGTATCTCCCCCTTACAGCTTCAAACTTTATTGACCTACCTTGGTTACAAATGATACACATTTCCTTTTTTGTCTGCCACACCTGCCACCAACATGCCAAAGCCAAGTCTTCAAATACCCGAGGATATGGATTAATTTTACAAGTGACATGTAAGCCCCTGTTGAGTTATACCTGCTAAGCTCCCAACCAATTTCAAGCTGTGCACTATGCCAAAGTCTGACACTAGACTTGAAAAGAAAACAAAGTTCAAACAAAACAAAACAAGTACAGAACAAGGTTTCTTCTCTTGTGGAAGGGGCATGAGGCAGGAGTCCTGTTTTTAAAGTGTACAACAGCAGACTTTTGATTAAAAAAAAAAAAAAAAGATTGTCGTGGGAGAGAGATTGTGTCTTCTAGTGCTCCGCTTTCCCCCTCCCATTACCCCTCCCACCCTCTGGGTCTCCCGCAAAGTGAGAATACAATGAAATTGTTTTGTATTTATAGATATCTTACAAGGTTAAATAAGAACAACAATAATAATAAAAAAAATTGAACACTAAAATGAACAGTTTTTTTTTTTTCTCTTTTTAATTTTCTTTCCAAACGTGACCAGTGTTGCTGAGTGACACTCAAGTACTGGTAGTTTTTCCTGTGCAGCTGACTGCTTGGGACTGTTCAGGTGGAGTTGGAAGCTGACGCAGAAGCAGCATTATTGGTCTGTCCACGGTCTCCAGCATTAGCATCTGCAAATTCAAAGTCCCAAGAGAGTATGAACAATGGCATAATTCTCTAAAGAAAACAAGTACATTGCCTTAACTGCAGACTGTGAGCTGTTGTGGCCTTCCAAACTGTTTTCTGGCATGTTGGTTTAAATATGGCCAACAGTTTGACATCTAAATTTCTTCCTGTTTAGAAGCTAAGGTACATGACTTGGCAAGGTCCTGGTGCAGAGGAGACAGTGACTTTGATTAAATTATCAACTCAGGGACTCAGAGACCATTCCTGTGAATGCTCTTACTATAGCTGGGATCAGCAGTTCATGAAGACTCAGTTGGAGAGGGGCTTACTTAAAAACAAATGAATAGCACGTAGCTTGGAAAACTTACTAAAAATCCTGAATCATGTTATAATATACTATCTGCTTGCTGAATGGATGAAGAAAATGAAAGTAATAATGGGTCAGTGTTGATAGGCAGAAGTACTTGATATAAACCAAACTCAGTTGCTTGTTTTCTAAGTATAGCCACTCTTCATTATTCATAGAGATGAAAGACAGCAAAAAAGAAATAGTCACTATGGTACCAATTTACTTAATACGATACAGTAAAGCATCCTGTAGTCAAATATGTTGGGATAATAACTTATCTTGCCTGATCCTCTACAAATGTGTATATTAACAACCAACTTTTATCCCCAATTCCCCTCTTTTAAAGAACCATTATTATTTTATAGCATCCATTAACTAAATGGCCATCTAGTTGTTTCCAGATTGGCTCTCCATCCTGGATAGGGAATAGCCTGCTATTTCAGTGGTTAATTATTTGCTTCATGCACAACCACCAGGAATATACTGTTGGTCAATTTTTCTCACAAAGATTTCATTTTTTTCCCAGAGAAAGAGAGGTTGCTTGACTGGGATGGCCAACTTCCAAGAGCTATCTCCTTAGAAGCCACACTGCTCTTGGTCATCAAGGCTGGTAACACCAAAAAGCAGACCCAGAAGCTTTTGTCTGTCAGGAACCTTTAAAGGGATCTGCAATCACACTTGTCCTATGATAGGCAGAGTAACCAATGTCACAGATGAATGTAAACATCTGGTCTTGGATCTTTCTACTTTGAATTTCTGAATTAGAGTGAGACACAAAAGACTCACAAGGACACAAAGGAACTTTATTACTTAAGGATTAGCTATTCGGTTATCATTTCTATAGCCACTCTATGTAAAACTATACTTCCTTTCTAAATCTGCCCTTATATACATTTAACTTAATCTTTGGGAAAAGAAATGAGAATACCTCTTTATTTGAATGGTTATAGTTAATTCATTTAATTTCTTCAAAACACCTGCAGCTGCTTCTAGTACTGCTGTTGTGTAAATAAATGCAACATCAGAGTCCATGCTAATGGTTTATATTGCCCATGGCTGGAGTCATCCTAATTCATCAGTATAAGGTCCATGAGTAAGCTGCATGAGAGAGCCCGGGACACAGAACTTACTTTTCAAAGACAGGTAGACAGCCTTGTCCAATAATTAGTGAGCAATTAGGTCTAATACCTCATTCATGATCCCTGGCCTTCCATAGATATGCTCAGCTCAAAGGGGTAGTACCATCCATGCGCATTCAAATTCTGTGCACTGAAAATCTAACATTAATTCTTCCCTAACCACAAATTCCTTCAAGCCTTTCTCAGGAAAAAATACTCATTTTAATGATTCAAGGACAGGCTGCATTAAAAACAACATTCCAGCAAAAGCCTCAAAGACCACAAAGCTATTTCAGAATTCTAATGTTCCACATAAATCCATGCTTATTGTTGCATTTCCTGTGCTGTGAATGACACTCAGGACATGATCATCATCAAATAGTACTTACCTCAATTTCAGCATTAGAATATGATACTCAGAACTGTTATTCTGGTCTTCAAACCCAAGACTTAAGAGAGAGGCTATCAGGAATTCATTTGTGTTTGACTACTACATCATCATGCAAACTAGCACTGTGAGCAGCCCTGCCCATGGTGGCCATTAGCCATGATGGCTGACACTAGTTGTTTACCAAGTTCAGTAAACACCTCACCTACAAGGCAACTTGTCCATTTATGTTAAATTTGCTCTTTAGGGGCTGGGGTTGTGGCTCAGAGGTAGAGCGCTCACCTAGCATGTGAGGCACTGGGTTCAATCCTCAGCATGACATAAAAATAAAATAAAGATATTGTGTCCACTTATAACTAAAAAATAAATATTCAAACAAACAAACAAACAAAAACCTGTGATCCTCTTAAAAAAATTTGCTCTTAAGCAGAATCCTACTTAGCTAGCTAGCTAGTTTTCAGATATCCTTTCACTAGCTATCGCCTGAGAGCTTATGACAGTGACCAAACTAGTTTACCCTTCTTTGGAGAAATTCAAAAGCTGTCTATATGATCATAATAAAAATCACAGGCCTTTCATGTGAACATATAACCAGAAATGAATTCAGTTTTCAATCAGTAAAATTTGACAAAAACACTCATGTTCCTCAGAATTATAATTAAATGACCTCATATTTTTCTCAGCATTATTTCCAAATCATTTCATGAGTAAATTTTAGCAGTTAATTATTTTGGTCACACATACTCTTGAAACCTGAAGTTGCCCAGGCTGGCCTTAAATTTACATGTGTGTATCACCATGCCTGGCTTACACTGATACATCTTTCTTAACCTAGTCCAATTCCATGAACATTTATGAGTATAAAGACAATTTGTGCATCTTAACAGCCTTGTGATTTGGGAACAAATTATTCCACTTTTCTACCCTTAAATTTCCTCAATGGCAAAATGGTAATAATACCTCCTGTCTATAAAATAAGGCCTCTGAAGTATGTGCCATAACATTTGGCATGTAGTAATTGTTCAGTAAACAGAATGGTAAATGATACATCTAAAATACATTTTTATTTATGTAATATATATTTTCATAATCTAGTGTGACTACAATAACCACAATAACAATAAATATTAGTGCCAGCAAAATCACAATAAATATCTGGGTGCTTGCTTACCAGTGTGCTACACACCATACTAAGTTCTCTGTAGGCATCACATTTAGACTACATAGCACCTATGAGAAATATGTACAATTATCTCCACCATTAGGCAAACAGAAAACATAAGTCATAATGAGATTAACATAACTAAGACCATACAGTTAGTAAGTGGAAGAGCAGAGCACAGAGGACAATGATGACCTTTATGGGCAATAGGGGACAGCAGAGAAGATTTCCTAGCAAAGGGATGGAAGAGTTTAAAGGGACTTTTATTTAGAACTAATTTCAACAAAATCCAGTGTGATTTCTAGAGGTCCATTATCGAAAAGAGTTATATTACATTAAGACAATATTTAGTTTATAATAAGAACTAAGCAAATAATTTATTTTCTAATTTTCAAATAGTCTGAATGGGATAGTCTGGAAATGGCTCTAGAGATGAATTCCACAGACCTGAAACCTCCCTAGAAACAATTCTCATTATCATCCTTTTGATGCTACTATGGAAAAATAACTCTGTTCCATCAAATCCAGTATAGATTTGAGAGGATACAGAATTATCAATTTTAGAGGGAAGAAGCACAGGTAGGAAGGTACAACATCATCCTTATAGATTGTGGTGGGTCACCTTCCAAGATAATCCCAATGATTCATGCCTTTTGGTGTCCAAACCCTAGTGCAGTCCCTTCCCACCCTGGAAATTGTCAAAATAATGGTATATGACTCCAAGGCTAAGATATAAAAGACATGTGGCTTCCATCTTGCCCTCTCTCTTGGATCACCAGTTCTAACAGAAGCTGGCTATCACAATGTGAGATACAGAGAGGTCCACAAGGTGAATGGTAACTAAGGCCAGTGCAGATCTGCTAACCACATGAACAAGCCATCCCAGAAGCAGATCTTTCAGCCTTAGGCAAGCCATTAGAAGACGAAAGGGTTGACATTTTAACTACTTTATGAAAGACCCTGACCATACAGCTAAGCTGCTTCTGAATTTCTGTCTCACAGAAACAACATTTATTCTTGCTTTAAGTTACTAAATTTTGGGGTAACTTGATATGTAGCAACAGATAACTAATACGTATGTATATATCAAAGAACTTAAATGCCATTTAGGGTTTGTGTTCACAAGCCTATGAAAGCATCACTAAGTCCCTTAGATGTATACCTAATAAGCCGTATAAAACAAGAATCAGATGAACAGTTGTTTTTCCATGAATGGTTTTGGTTCTAAGGCTTTTATATCAGACATTACAAAGGGAATTTGTACTTTCATTTTTTTTTTTTTTTTTTAAATTTTTAAAGAGATAGGGTCTTGCTATAATGCCCTAGCCTTGAATTCCTGGACTCAAGTGATCCTCCTATGTCTGTCTCCTGTGTAGCAGGGACTATAGGTAGGTGCTACTATGCTTGGTAAACCCAATATTTATTCCATGTAATTTCAGAGGTATAAACAAGGACTCGGGTAATGCCATAGTGAAGCCAAGGGTAGAACCTGCAGCTGTCAGGTTTCTAGCTGAGTCCATGAGGTTGAGATTTTTATCCTACATAAAATTTTATATGTAAAATTCTATATCTGGTACACATATACTTTTTTCTAGGATATGATTCATTCCCCACCCCCATCCCCAACCCCAGATTCACAGAGGTCTGTAAGTGTTGATAGTTGGGGAAACTGTCCCACCTAGAAGCCCAAGTCATAAACTCAAGAGTTCTTGCCTTGATTCCTCATTGCCTCTTCACTGCCCACCCACAATAAACATCACCAACTCCCATCCACTTTTCTTGCACCTAACGTGATTGATCAAACACGCAAATGGAGAGTGGAAGGTATAGTGAATGGAAGGTCTCACACTTAAAATTGTTGCCAAAGTTTTAAATAAAAAGAAAGTAGAAATGAAGGAAACATGTTGGGAGGACAGGACAGAGAACAAACATAGGAGGTGGGGTTCCAAAGGCTCTGCTATCATGAATCAGTATTACAGAACTGTGGGTTTAAAGATAAAGCTTTTTAATTTATAAAAATGATCATGTGGGCTGGGGCTGTAGCTCAGTGGTAGAGCCTTGCATGTGTGAGGCACTGGGTTTGATCCTCAGCACCACATAAATATAAATAAATAAATATATTGTGTTCATCTATAACTAAAAAAATATTTTTTGAAAAAAAATGCTCATTGTATGGTCCAGTGGCAATGACAGAAATGTTCTATTTGCATTCTCCAATATGGTGGCTCCTAGCTACATATGGCTACTTAAATTAAATAATAAAAATTAAAATTTAGTTCCTAATTTGCCCTAAGCATGTTTCAAATTCTCAAAAGCTACAAAAGTATTAAATATTATACTTTATAATAGAAAATTATAAAGTAATTTATAATTACTTTATAATAGAAATATTAAAATAAATTAATATTTCTATTATTGGCATATTAGCAAGATAGAATATTTTAGCTAATCAAATTAGCTTTTTTTGTGTTTACATGTACAAGTGTGTAAATACACTTGAGAACTTAAGTATACTTTGATTCCTTTATTTCCTTTATGTTAAGGGCTGTAAACAAGTCAAGATGGCGCCTGGCATTTTGCCAGAGGGAGTGGTTTGTGAAGTAACGCCAGCGAGCCATTAAGTGTGGAGATTCCTTATTGGTTGACTGCTGTATCTAGTTTATGTTAATTAAGATAAGCTGTGTGTAATATACCCCTCCTGTCCTACAATAAACGGCTCCCACTCCTGCTGTATTAATGTACACAAGTTGTTCGTCCCCCACCCCTGTTATTTTGCTGCAGCCGGACTGCGGCACCTTTATTATACTCTTCCCCAAACCAATCTTTCTTTTTTTTTTTTGAAATTTTTTAGTGTTTATTTTTTAGTTTTCGGCGGACACAACATCTTTGTTTGTATGTGGTGCTGAGGATCGAACCCGGGCTGCACGCATGCCAGGTGAGCACGCTACTGCTTGAGCCACATCCCCAGCCCCCAAACCAATCTTTCTGAAGCCGATTTTAAGTGTGTTTCCACTCACCAGACAAAAATGTTTAAAATGGTTAAAAATGTCACATGACAGGTCAGCTCCTCTAAAAGATAAAATTTTGATAGTTTGAGATGTATTGTTTATTATATGCAGCTAACTTAAGATGCTCCTATTCAAGCTGTTCCAAATAGAAATGCATCTATTGTAAAACCATGTTTCGGATATTAGTGTCATTCCTGATACAGAACAAATAAGACTATCATAAGAATCAAAGTATAGCCTAAGCTTACGTTTAATTGAAGTAATAAACTACACTAATGAGATCAAAGTTTTTCCTCTTCATAATCTCTACTATTATTTTGTTAATTTTGTGTATGATAATAAGGGAAAAGGAGAGGAAATTCACCTTAGGAATGCATCATCAACTCTTTTTCCTATTCCTAGGAAAGATACGGCACAAGATATCAAGCTAGCCTTTAGTCAGGAGTCAAATTCAGATGCCTGAAGCTCTAACCCTCCAAGATACACATTTTATAGATTGAGAAAACAAATAAAATACTTATTAGTAAAGTTCAAAGGACTTTCTCCAGGTAGCATGTGCTAGTGGAAATGGAGCTAAAAGAAACTTTCTTTATAGAATTTTCCTGGAAGGTAGGACATGAATGAGAATGAAATCTTTATTAGCAACATTGTAAAAATTGACTAAAAAGATTAAGACTGGACAGAAACTGCTTTATTTCAGACAATAGGAGATGGATTTTGACCATTACTGTTGAGTACTAAGAATTATAATGAAAGATTTTTTTTTAATTTCCTGCAACATAAATTCCCATAAGCAAATATGGTCTGATCTTTTTCAATGTGATAACTAAAAGAAAATGGCGTAAGCTTCTGCCACCAGTTTTTCTGTTTTTTTTTTTTTAAAGGGGGGCACCAAATTCTGAGCCCCTATTTGTGTTACCTATTATGTTTCTAATTTCATGTAAAATAGCATCCAGCCATTCTCTGGAGGAATTCAATTCATTCAAGAATTAGGGATTTTCAAAATATTTGTAACGACAGTGATTCTCATGAAATTAGGCCCTGCTATTAGCTGGCTTATGGGACCAGCAGCACACTCCAATTCTAACTTTGTAGTCTAGACAAGAATCTAGTCACACCTGGAGCTAAAACTTGGTTAAATGTATTTTCATTATACCTTTAGCCCTTCCAAATGATTAAAAATTATACCAATCTATATTGTATACTTAAAAATTTGCCTCCTCAGTATATTAATATCATTAACATTCAGGGGATAAAAAGAACTATAGTGAAATATCCTAAATAGCATTATATTGTACAAACTGTTTTCTGTTATAAGCATCTCATTTGATATATATTAACCAAGATATTAATTAGATATTTATATCTTATATATAAAGTACATACATGAAGTATTTATGGAGTGCTTTTATCTTGTGCATTTTGGAACTAAAGCAGTATTTTATTCACTTTTACTCATTTGGTTGTGCCTTTTTGGATCTTTAAATGAAATGAAATGTTTATACTTATCCTATGAAATGAAACAGGGGTAATCATCTTTTTAGAAAACAGAATATATTTTTATAGAAGACACTTATATCCTCACCTGAGGCTGCTGTGGCATTTGTAGGGGTGGAAGCAGCTGCTTGAATTCGGGCATGAGGAGGAATAAGGATGGTAGCCAAAGGTGGATTACTTGACAGTTCTAGAGAAGATAAGACACAAATATTAGAGCCCACTCTTAAATGTATATGAAATTATTGTATTATTAACAATAAGATACCAGTCTAACAAAAAAAGAAGACATAATGAACCTATATCCATCTCAAACCATATCAATGAGCTAGTAATCAACTTACACAGTAAACTCCCCGAAACAGAGCTTATTCTATCATTACTCTTGTTATGATATACAAAAAGGTGCTATCTGCTAAAATTAAGATATGTCTGAGAACTAAAAGTTAGAGAGTAAACATATTAGTAAGATAAGTTTCCATCTTGCATTGACTTAAATATGCCATCCAACTCTGGTAGTACTTAACTACAGGAATTGAAAGTGAAGGTTTTATAACAAGGAATATAAGTGCAGTCTATTTTGTGTCTGTATGTAAATGTACATGTACAAGTATATGTACAGGCTAACCCACCCAACTATCTAGATACTCCTAAAAGCAGGATTTAAGAAACATCTATTTAAAATCTTATTGCTTTTTTAAAAAATATTTTTATCCAATTATATATATATATATATATATACACACACACATATGTATATACAGAGAAAGAGAGAGATACACATATGTTGTGTGTGTGCACGCGTGCACGAATGCATGCAGCACTAGGGATTAAACTCAGGTGTAGGTGTGCTGTAACACAGAGCTACTCCCCCCCCCTTCTTTTCATTCAAAAATTCAATCTTTATTCACAAATATTTTTTGAGGGTATTTTTGTGTGCTAAACTCTTCTAGTGCTGGATTACAGATTTAGACAAGCAGACAAGGACCAGATGCCCCACTAGTATAGGAGCTGGATGGTTCACAACTTGAATATGCCATGTGGCAGCAGGTCATACAAGGTCAGGTGGTGACAGGCTTTGAGGAATACTGTGAGGCCAGGGTTGGGAAAGGTGGCCATTCCCATTTCTGAAAAGGCTGTTACAGAATATCTGCAGGGATACAGTGCTAAAGTTCTCAGGAGACTTCACAGGGTATGACTCAGTATGGCAGGAACCAATGCTTATTTTTTTTTTCCTTTTATTCCCAGATTTCCCCAGTCCTTTTTATTTTGAGACAGGGTCTAAGTTGCTGAGGCTGGCCTTGAACTTGCAATCATTCTCTCTCAACCTCCAGAGTACCTGTGATTATAGGAGTGCACAATGTGGTCATCTCAATTCTATATTTTTTAACTTAAAAAAAAAAAAAAAAAAGACTGCTAGCTTTAAGTTGTGAAATAGGCTTTTTACCTGTATGTGATAAGGCTATTTCCGTCCACTGCATAGATTAGCTTTCTTTAAAGAATCAAGTTCTGTACAGGTACCTTAAGAAATAATTATTTTAAGGTTTGGAGATTTAGGTCAGTGGCACAGTGCTTACCTCCTAGTACAAGGCCCTGGTTTTGACCATAGGAATTAAAAAAATAAAAATAAAAAGGATTGAACCTAATATTGTGGATCGGACATGTAATGGTGATGCGTGCTCTCTTTCTCTCTAATACACACACACACACACACACACACACACACACACACTATATTTTTGAAGATCCTAAGCTATTTTACTTAAAGTCAGTCAAATTTCAACATACAATATTTTACTTAGGAAAACAAGCAAATTTTTGGTAACTGTAATGGCTTAATACCTTTCTGATTCTAGGCACATAAAAATATTAATGTAGTATGTAATAGTTATTCTTAATCAACCTGAAAGAAATTTAGATTTACCATCCCCATTAAAATTAAAATCTTCTAAAACAGACTTTTAAAAAATTCATCTATCCATCCACCTCCCTACCCACCACCCATTAATCTAATACTGAGCATAAAATAGTATGTTAGGTTGCAGAATACAGACAGAAAAAAGACAATCATCCTGTCTGGCAACGAAATGTACAATTGAACAAGCTGGCAAAAGAAAGGCATTCAACAACAGAAAAAAGAACACTGGAGTACACAAAGGGGGAATGAAAGTGAGGAGAAGAGGGACAGAATAGGGAAAGACAGTGGACTAAATCTAACCTAACTTCCCTATATACATATATGAATACACCAGAGTGATTCTCACCATCATGTACATTCTCAAGACACTAATTTTAAAAAACTACTATAATAGCAAAAAATCAGTAGAGTAAAGGAAAGGGAACAGGGAGGGGAAGGGGAAGTACTACGGGCTGAATTAGAACAAATATTTCATGTTTTTTATAATGATGTCAAAATAAATCCTATTGTCATGTATAACTAAAAGAACCAATTCAAAAAAAAGAAACTTGGTGAGACCCTGTCTCAAAAAGGGGATGGGGATGGGTATGTGGCACAGTGGTTAAGCATCCCTGCATCCTTGGTGTTATGGTTTGGATGTGAGGTGTCCCCTAAAAGCTCACATGTGAGACAATGCAATAAAGTTCGGAGGAGAAATGATTGGGTTATCTTAGCCCCCGTAGGGTGTGGCTGGAGGAGGTAGGAATTAGGGTGTGGCTTTGGTGTATGTATTTGTATCTGGAAAGTAGAGACTTTCTCTACTTCTTGATCACCATGATGTGAGTTGCTTCCCTCTGCCACACACTCTGCTATGATGTTCAGCCTTATTTTGAGCCCTCTAAAACTGTGAGCCCTCAAACAAACTTTTCCTCCTTTATAATTGTTCTGATCAGATCCTTTAGTCAGAGCATCAAACAAACTGACTGAAATACCTGGGTTCAATCCCTGGTATAAACAAACAAACAGAAAAGATCTTTGACCATATGTCTAATATATAAGAGGAAACATGAAAAGGGAAAAGATTACCAGAGATTTTAATGCATGACAATGAAACAAACTACTGTCAAGATAATCTTCAAAATAAACTGGATATCGGTGATTAATGGTCACTTTCCTTATGGCTCACACTGTTATTTTCTCCTACTCATTTACATTCTCTTACCAGATCCTTACACCTGTCCTTCTGTGTATCTGCATGCCAGCTGAGAGCCATGATGGTTTTCTATCTTAGTATGGGGTAAGGGTATGTATAATGGTGTGTATACTGCCTTGGATAGGGAGAGATGGGTAGCCCATAAAGAGCAAAGAGAAGAAAATAAGAAGCTCTGGGATCTTGGGAGGCTTTGCTAAATCCAAAGACCTGGGAAAGAAGGATAGGAGATAGAGTATTTGTGAACTTTTTTGAGTCAAACACCCTAAAAGTTAATAGTTAAGTTCTGAAATTTTAATCACTGCTTGTTCTACATCTATCCAACTTCTATAATCCATTGTTCTTTTTCTCTTCCTTAATTATAAACATTCCTTAAAAGATCCACTGCTTCCATCTGTTGGTTATTTTCTACTTTAAAGAACTTGTTAACTGGAATAGCTTTTGCTTGTGTGAATGAGGAGGCCTTCTTGAACTTCTGCTACAGTCCTGTTCTTGTCACGAGTCTGTACCTTTCATGGTGAGAGATCACAGGCATTTCCATGGGACTGTCACAATTAGTCCAAAATAGCTTCATTTGTCTTTCACTCCCAACAATTACTACCTACTTCCAAGCAGTCTGTTTACTCATGGGAAAAAATAAGGAAACAGAGGCAGCAAGTGTGGATACAAACTGCAGCGAAACAACAAAAAACCAGTGGCATTTTGGAGGAGAGAAATAGCAAAGCAAAAAGTCCTTATCAGGATCAAGAAGTATATATATGTTTGAAGCAGAGAAGGAGTGTGAAGAAATTGAAACTGAAAAGTATGCTACTATTTGCTAAGCATGGATGCCAAGCTTGAGAGTAGGGAGAAAATGAAGGGAACAAGGAGGTTCAAGATATGAAAGCAGGGTTAACTTTGGAGAACTGAGAATTCAGAAACTAAAAGACAGGCGGGGTCTGAGCAGACTAACCAGTACCTTAGAGACATGGTTAAAAACAAAAACAGTAATAGGTTTCAAAAGACTAGAAAAGTTAATGCATGATAAGAATTTCTTCAATCAACTGGAGACACCAGGAAAACAATTCATCAAAAAACCAGCATATGCAAGGCCCTTAAATCTTTCATATTTAATGACAAAGAGAGAAAGGAGTGTGTCAAAGATCATGAATTCCAAGGTCTGGAAAAGTCAGACAGGTTTGATATTCTCTTGATGCTCAATCCTCAGCATCAGAAAAAATAAACAAAACAAAAAATAATCCTGCTAACATTTTGAACTCTGGAGAATCAGTCTAAGGCTTTCCTGTACTTATTTATATCATTAATTTATGTATCTCTAATATGTTCTACATTGGAGGCTTTAATTTCTCATTTTTTTCTTTGTCTTTATGGAGTCAATTCATTTTTATAATAAAAAATTTGGAGATAAAGCTTAAATATTCTTCAATCCAACTATATAATGACGAATGATGATGACGATTTTTAAATGAGAAAACTCAGGCAGAGATAGTCTTTGGCTAAGGTCTACAACTAACAACAATTATTCTCTAGTAACTAGTTAGAGGACACTAGACATTAGTGATTTACTCTTTTCACATGCAAAGCTGCAATTCATTATTGCCTTGGTATAATGTACACCACCAGTAATCTGGTTCTTCCTGGAACTCTATAAAACTACATAAAGAACTTTTAGTCAATGTATTAATTTTCTTGAGTGTTCCTATACCATTCCACATTCTTCTTAGTAGTATGTCTGAAGCAGTACAGCAGACCAAATAACCTCAGAAAAAATCACAGTAATTCTCAAATAAAATTGACAGTTCCTAGTCTAAAATCCTTGAATTGAATATAGTTGAATATAGTCAACACTATCTGTCCTTACTACTACAGTTGCCTTTCTCTTAGCCTATTCATAAATTTTCTCAAGCTCTCCTGTACTGTATATACTGGACTCATATTTCAATAACTAGAAGAATACTGCCTGATTATCTAGAAATTTTATGCTAGATTATTTATAAATTAAAGAATAAGTCAGATGTCAATTCTTTTGCCGTGTCCTATATGTAAAGAGTTTTTATCCCGTCTAAATTTATTGTTGCTATTA